GCCTCCACAGCAGCAAGCAAGGTAGACCAGTAGGTGCTCCAGACCATACATAGCCCCGGACAAAGGGGTGTAGAGGTTTCGAGCAGACAGTCCGAATCCACTTTCCCTGGGTTGCAGGTTGTAGATATGGAGGGCCATGAAGGAGGACTGAAAAAACAGAGCTATCACAGTGCAGAAGATGAACTCCAGGACAAATTGTGCAAAAGATGAGGCTTTGTCCCCTCCAAGATATATTTCATCAATATCTCTATTCTCTATTAAACCATGAATAAATAACTCCAGAGATGCCACGTCAGACATATAGAGATAAGGCTCTTTTGGCCTTTTCATAAAAATCCACTTAGTTAGGTGAAGACACACTTACAAATAAATGAATAGAAAGCATACTACGCTTCACATTTGCATACTTCAAGCCATGTGGCCTTATTTTTGGTCTGCCTGTAGAAGATAAAAATCTGTCTTAAGCATTCTAATTAATTGCATGGATTATTTTACTGAGTTTTATGAGGAAAATAGAAATAACAACAATAGTTCCTGATAGTTGAGCACCTGTTCGCAGAACCAAACAAATCCAGGTCTCCTTGCCTGATCTGAAGCAAAGCCGAACACTGCGTCAGGATGTAGTGAAAGAAGGAGGGCATTTATTGCAGGACGCCAAGCGAGGAGAATGGGTAGCTAATGCTTAAGGTCCCAAACTCACCGTTGGCTTACAAGCCAGAGTTCTTAAAGGCAAAATTACGGGGAAGAGTTGCAGGGTGTGATCAGCTGGTGCCCGTCCTTCACATTGATAGTGGTAAGGCGGCAGGGAACGTTCAAGGAGTCTTAGCTATCAGTCTTCTGGTTCTTCCCACTCTGGCTTCTACATGCTTGTCAGGAGGTGGCCCACCTGGTGGGGGTCTAAATGCCTGCAAAATATCTCAAGGGTATATGAGTCAAGAGTGTATCTGTAGCCTTGAGGAGGAACTAAGAGTCCTGTATCTGGTTTGCTTTTCCTTGGTTTGAAAACTTCCATTTTCTTTAATCCCTAATTATTCACTTTAGTGTCCACACTCTGGGTCAAAACTGAAGGACTTGGCTTCTGTTTGGTAATGAGGAGTCTAAGGGCCTTCATCAAAGGGGGGCCACCTGTGCAGTTACACAGCTGTCATCCTCCAATGACCATGTTAGGAGCTTCACATGCATCATTCTAACCTTCACTCTGATGTATTTTCAGTTTTATACATGGGTAAACCTAAGCAAATAGAGCTACTAAGAAAAACCTAGATTCAAGCCTGAGTTTTCCTAATGCCCAAGTGCAGTATCATTCCTTTACCAAAAAATGACTTGGCTGCATCTTACTTTGACAAATTCCTCTTCATCAATTTCTTAAGAGAGAAGTTTGGATCTAAATAGAAAACAGAATGGAATGATCTGGGCAAAAGGTAAAATTTTCCTTCAGGGTCCTTCCCAAAAGATGACCAGTCATCTCCCAATGTTTATTCTCCCTTCTGGGATCAGTAAGAGAAACTCCCCATCCACCCCAGGTTGAAATTGGTGCTGAGCTATCAGGTAAATATGCCTAGGTGTGACCATGTGACAAGGTGATGGTCAATGACTGGAGTAGAAGTCATATGTGCAGTTCCTAAGTCCTGACCCTAGAAGAGGCATGCTTGCCTTCTTACCCTCTTTTCCTGTAGGCTGAAGCTCTGCTAAGAGTCAGACAGGAGTAACCCCTGCAGACACAAGATGGGAGCTGCAGTGTAAGTGTAGCACAGTGACCAGATAGAGTGACCCTAGGTCTCCAATGTCATGGAGCTGCCATTTCACCCCTAGACCACCTACTCCTAGATGAATACATTTGTTAGGAATGAACTTCTATTTTATTTAAGCTACTATGGTTTTGAGTAGATAAAGTGGTTCTCAAACTTCAGCATATATCAGAATCACCTAGAGGGCTTATTAAAATGCAGATTGCTGGGCCCCACCCCAGGGTATCAGATTTAGTAGTTTGGGAGAGACCTGAGACCTAGCATTTCTAACAGATTCCTAGGTGATGCTCATGTGGCTGGCCCAGGCACCAAACCTGAAGAACCGCTGTTCTGGCCAGGACCCACACCCACTCTCCCAGCCCTCCACAGACGTGCCTCTCGTGACTCCAGTTTCTAACGATATCCTGAACTGCCTTCCCATTTTAGGTCACACACTAAATCCAGAACTCAAACTTAGCTCCGTATTGTTTCGTCTGCAGTTCTCATCAGTGAATCTAAAGAGATTTGGAGCAAACCAGAAACCACACAGAGAGCTAGGAAATCCTATACCTCCAATAGCATCTGATAGAATCTGAGAGCCCTCGAAATCTGGATTCGAGAATCTAGATAATTCCAAACTTCTCTTTTTAATAGTCCCTCATGCTCAGGAATTACAAATGTGTTTTTCAAAAACAAATTTAAAAAATAAATCCACGTGTATTTTGGTGTATGTTAAATTAAGCTCTGATTTTCAGCAGCTTCCTAGAAGACACACACCTTGAATAGGATCACAGGCTGCAGAGAGGGAAAGCACATGCATGAAACAATAGCTGAGTGGAGGAAAATGGAAAATAAAAACTCCCATGGAGGAATCAAAATTCCAAGTGGCAGCAGCGCCCAGCAGATAACACGGGTGGCAACAAACTAAACGCTTGGAAACCAGAAAGCATCAAAGATGCTGCTATAGGGAAGCAGGGAAACCTTCAGGTGTGTGACTCACACTTCCCCAAGCCACGCTGGCCCTTGGAAGCTTCCAATAAGCTCTGAGCTTTTTTCCTGGCAGCGTCCCAGGTGACTCGTGAGCTTGCCTCAGCTGGCACTGGTGTTCCCCCACTGCCACCACAGATGCCACTCACCTGCTGCCACCATCGTGACATCTAACACTGCCAACCCCATGCTGCTGTCACTCCCTGGCGCCCAGGGGTCACCTCGTTGTAATTAGATGCCCCTGTGGGTAGCCTGATGCACTGCGTCTCTGAACCCCGGATCAGAGCCCTCAGGTGGGATCAGAGAACCATCAGGTCAGGAATAGGTTCAAGACTCCACAGACTCAGGCCTACAAGAAGCTGACGTGCTTAATAAATGGTCGTTTTCCACTCACTTGCCTACCACTCGTGGTTCACCACTGCCCCAAACCAACACCCTTTCAGAGCTTCCCCTACTGCTTGGTGAGCACCCTGCCCACCTCAGGAGATGGGGCAGCTTTTGCTGATCCTTCCTCAGTCCCCCTAAACCCTCCAAGCTAGGTTAGCTCCCTGGGGCAATCATCTCCTATCACCGTGAACCTTTCCTTCTTAGCACCTATCAGATATCATTGGGGATAATAATGGCAGCACCTGGCTCACAGGTTTTTCGGCTTTGTTTTGTCTTTTCTTGGAAATGATTAAATAAATTAATATAGGATAAGTGTCTGAAACCACATATGACACATAGGAAGCCCTCAACAAACATTAGCTATGATTATTATATACATTTATTTATGTGATCATTTGAAAAATCTGTCTTTTAAGGACTGTGTCCATTTTTGCTTTTTATTGTATCCCAAGTGCCCACTCGGTGGCAAGGTCACAGTAAGCACTCAGCCAACACTGGTTGAATGAATACATGAATCATATCATGAGCCAACTGCCTGAGTCCCTCCTTATCACTGCTCCTGGATGTCTGATGGGTCCTGATGCAAATAGGACTTCTCTTATTCTATTGTCTAAGTGTTCTCCAGTTACTATATAAATTAAACTCCTTCGTACACCCACATGCACACACATGAGCACACTTTACAGTGGCCCCCAAAGGATGCAGATAGAAAGTTTTCAGTTTGTTTTTGTTTGTTTTAATGGCTTTACGAAGGAGTAATTGATATACAAAATGCTGCACATGTTTAATGGATATACTAGATGAGTTTGGACATGTGTAAACACCTATGAAACCAACACTACAGTCAGGGTGGTAGACATATCACCATCTCCAAAAATGTCTTGTGTCCCTTTGTTTTTGCTTTATCTTGTTTTATTTTGTTTGTGTGGTAAGAACGGCATGAGATCTACCTTTGTAATGAATTTTTTAGTGCACAGTGTTAACTACAGGCATTATGCTGTACAGCAGGTCTCTAGAACTTACCCGTCCCACATAACTGACACTTCACACCCATTGAGCAACTTCCCATGTCCCCTTCTCCCTGCTCCAGAATCCGCCATTCTGTTCTCTATGTCTGTAAGTTTGACCATATGAGATTCTTCATATAAGGGGAAGCATGCAGTATTTGTCCTTCTGTGACTGACTTATTTTACTTAATGTCACGTAATGTCTCCAGGTTCATCCATGTTGCAGCAAATGAGAAGATCTACCCCCTTTTCAAGGCTGTATAATATTCTATTGTATGTATATGGCTCATTTTCTTTACCCATTCATCACTAGTGAGCACGTAGGTATTTCTGTGTCCCAGCTATTGTGAATAGTGCTGCAGTGAACATGGCAATGCATAACATTGTTGTAAACCTAAAACTGTTCTAAAACATAAGGCCTTCAAAAAAATTCCAAAGAGATAATAAACCAGATAATCTAAGTGAAAATACTAAATATAGTGCCTACTGCCTAATAGCTGTTACTATTATTTTTGTCTTTATTATAAGACAAAATAAGCCCAGAGCTCTGGATTGCCATGGGAGAGACTTAATATACATTTAATGATTAAATGAATAAGTGCCAAAGTAAATGAGTCAAAAGAAGAGGGCTGGAATTTAAAACTAGTTTTGGATTAACTAGTCCTGTGACCTTTGACTAATTGTTTAATGTCTCAGTTTATGTAATCTGTGACAGGAGTTGGGGAGAGAAGCCTCGGCCTCCTTTATATTCATTGAGTCACCAGCTTTTTAAGCTGAGAGGGCATTTGGCAGGTCTCTCAGTGAGCAGTTCATTAAATTCACCCCGAGTCTAAAGGTGATATTGCCAAGTTGTCCAGTTTTGATAAACTAGACTGTCTGGTTCTTAGTTCAGAAACACCACCTTTGGACACACAGCAGAGTCTCAGTAAGTGTGAGCTGAATGAATGACACAGTGAATGATACAATGCTGTCTACTTTGAAGCTGATCTACATGGGTTCCTCAAAGCTTAATTATCAGAGAACTTATTTGTTTGACTACTATTATCAACAGTAATTTAGTTAACTATGTATATATGAAAATAATTTAGTCAGGTAATCATATTTTTCTTGGGGACACTTTTACCCCCAGAATACCATACATCTGTTTGTCTTCCACATGTTATTTCAACAAAAGACAGTTATCTTAGAGTTTCATTATTTTTCAACATGTGTGTGTCTATGTGTATGTGTGTGTGTGAAAGTAAGAGATAGTACTTTTAAAAGCCTGGATGAATGTACACTAGGATATTAACAGTAATTATCTCTGGATGGCAAAAATACAGGCAATGTCCATTTTCTTTTATATTCCTTCTTTTAAGTGTACTTTCTTATTGAGGTGAAATTGTTAGAGAATATTATGTTAGTTTCAGATGAACAACATAATCATTTGATTGTTTATACACTACAGAGTGATCACCCCCGTGAGTCTAGTTACCACCGGTCGCCATATTCCCTTCCCCCATTGTGCCCTCTCCCAGCCCCCTCCCCTCTGATAACCACCAATCTGTTCTCCTTACCTGTGAGTTTTGTTTGTTCATTTGTCTTGTCTTTTAAGTTCCACATGTAAGTGAAATCATGCAGTATTTTTCTTTTTCTGACTTATTTCACTTAGCATAATACCCTCTAGGTCTGTCCATGTTGTTGCAAATGGCACGATTTTCTTCTTTTTATGGCTCAGTAATATTCCATTTTATATATATGTATCTCACATCTTCTTTATCCATTCCTCCATTGATGGACACTTAAATTGTTTCCATATTTTGGCTACTGCAAGTAATGCTGCAGTGAGCATCAGGGTGCATATATCTTTTCAAATTAGTGTTTTCTTCAGATAAATACTCAGAAGTGGAATCGCTAAATCACATGGTAGGTCTAGTCTTAATTTTTTGAGGAATCTCCATACTGGTTTCTACAGTGGCTGCATCAATTTACCTTCCCACCAGCAGTGCCCAAGGGTTCCTTTTTCTCCACATCTTCTCCACCACTGTTTCTTATCTTTTGGATACTGGCCATTCTAACAGGTGTGAATTAATATCTCATTGTGGTTTTGATTGGCATTTCCCTGTTGACCATCTGTATGTCTTCTTCAGAAAAATGTCTATTTAGATCCATTGCTCATGTTTTAACTGGATTAGTTTTGTTTTTGATTTTTGCTATTGACTTGCTTGGTAATTTTAGAGATTAGCCCCTTATCAGATATATCACTTGCAAATATTTTCTCCCGTTCAGTAGGCTGCCTTTTCTTTGTGCTGATGGTGTCCTTTGCTGTGCAGAAGCTTGTTATTTTGATGTAGTCCCACTTGTTTATTCTGGCTTCATTTACCTTTGCTTTTGGAGTCAGATCCATGAGTACAATGCCAAGACCTATGTCAATGAGCCTACCACCTATGTTGTCTTCTAAGAGTTTCACAGTTCCTGGTCTGACATTCAAGTCTGTAATCTTGGGTATTGTAGAGCCAAGCCGAAGCAAGCTAAACTGTGTTCCCAGCTGCCCGTTTGTCCCAGAAGAGCTTATTCTTGCTTTCCTTGCCAAAACAGCGGGACCATTTGTCTCTCAAGTCTGCCTTGTGTCTCCATTCTCCCTCCCCCTGCTAAGAAAAGTACAAAACAGATACACAAGGATGGAGTGTTAGCAGCATTTCCCCAGGGGAAAGTGCCAGTAGTCCCTTTGGCTTTGGAGGGAGGGGTAGTGGAGTTTTTTGCACGGGACAGACTGATGCATCTCCCTCCGCCTCCGCCAGCCTTTTGCTTGGATGTCCTGGGAGGCCTAACCACTCTTTCCTATACTCTGGGTAAACAGGCAGACCCCAGCGGTTTGCAGATCTCTTTTCAACTCTGCCAGCAGTGTTTTTCTCTCTGTAATGTGACTGTGGGTCATTTTCATTTTTTCCTTCACACTCTCTATTTAACAACTTTCTAGAATGAACATGTACCACTTTCATAATCTGAAAGTAAGCAGTTTACTTAAGAAAAAAATCATTAGGGCAAAGCTGAGTGGTAGATTGGTAAAAAGAAAAAGTAAACTATCTTAACTAGTTCAACTTACATATTTTAATCTCAAATACTGGGTTAACTTGTTAAACTATATTTTTATCTCCTTTGGTTTCTATTCATAGCCTGAATAGAAAGATAAAAATGTCTGCTGTATCAAAGAAAGAAAACTTTCTCCACCTTCAGAAGAAACGAGTGCTTTTAAAAGTTAAATGTCCAATTTTAGGTTAGGTTTGAAAAGGGGCTATTTGTTTGGGTTTCTTTTATTCTCATTAGCAAATAAAGATTTTTGAACTTCTAACCAATAATTATAAGATGTGTTTTGCTCTCAGAAATCTCAGAAATCTGTGCTGAATTCCTTTATCCCTATTTCAACTTTGTTCAGAAGTTCAAAGATGGTCTGATATTGAATATTCCTAAAGGGCCTTATTAACATATATTTTTAAAAGAAGGCATTTAAAAATATTTTTTATTTAAATGTATATGAAATATATATTTAAAAGCAGGTATAGCAGATTGACATAATTTTTTAATTGGAAAGGTTAACAAAACTTACTATTTCAATATTAGTATCAATAGAAATTAGGATCTCAAATTCATGACTGTCTCTGAGCTCTGCTTCCCTCACAGTGTCTACCGCATAGCATATACTTGTCAGATAAATGAATGGAATTACACTTAAGCAGGCTGATACTTTACCATTTACATTACAAAATTGTAAATAAACCTGTGCTTATTCCAAAAACTTCACACAGTACAGAGCATGTGGAGTATAAAATAAATGAGCCACTTGAATGTATTCTACCAAAGGTTAACATCCTCTCAGACATATACATATGTGAGTGTGTGTTTCTTTTTACATTACCTCATTAAAATGTTTTAATCTAACCTGATGTCAACTCCGGTTTTCATATACAGATACCATATAGAATACATTTGAATTTATAACCATTTTAAGCATTTAGATTTTTGCTTTGTTTTATTTTGTCTTGAAATTATTCTGCCAGCAGACAATACGCAAACATTTTCTGGGTCACAATTATTTTTCCAGCAGCATTTCTCCTTGAAACAATTACCAGCACTAATGCACCCAAAGAGAAAAAGACATCCTTACTTCTAGTCTACTGTACATGCTTCCATGTGTTGTAAGCTATGCATAGTGAGGCATATGCTTCAGTAGCCCTCTCACAAGGCTTAATTGGGACTTAGGCACTCAATAAATATTTGTGGAATTGAAATGAGTTTCAGTAATTATTCTGTAATTCTGAAAGCATGTAGGTGCTGGAAAGATGATACGGCTTGGTGTGTTTCACTTTGAAGGCTGCAAAACCTCTGCAAACCCATCCCTGGAATCCGGTGATCCTGGTAAGTGGGGTCTTTGGAATTCACTGCAGTGGTTCTTTGGAATAGTTGGTTCTTTGGAATTCTCTGCAGAGACCCTTTTGATCTCCCTCCAGTCGTGCTTTTTTTTGGTCCCAGATTTCTCCGAAAATCTGGATTGGAAATAACTTCATTGCCTTAAGCCATCTGGTGGCTTTCCCTTGCAACTACAAGGCCAGTTCTGCGTGCCTCAACACAAGAACTGTCCCTTTCTTCCCACGTCTCTTAAAATCTGTGTGACAATGACGTGCTACCTAAGTAATGCATAGATGTTAAAAATCCAAGAGAAATCTTCACGATTCTAACCTCAGGGCCACTTTAATATCAAGAGCAACATAGGAAAGGCTGTGAATAATAGAGTAAAACAAACCATATTATTTCATTTTAATTATATACTAAGATAAGCTTTACTGAGCAGCAACCATGTGCCAAGCAGTGTGCCTAGGCTAGAAAAGCCAATGCAAAAGGCCCATGTTCTCAGAGAATACAGGCCAAGTGATATGGGAACAAACTTACAGTAGGGTAAATATTATAACAAGGTGTTCAGGTGGGGATGGGGAAAACACTGGCTGGGGCTCCTCTATCCTGCACCAAACACCAGGGAATGGGTGCTATCCTCTCCCTAAGTATGCAAAATACAAGGAAACAAAGTAGTTTTGGAATCAGCCCAAAATAATGATTGACAAAATAAAGGAGTTGCATTGTGTAAGTTTGCACCCTACCTTCTGCAAAAGCCAAAAATGTTCATGACTTTGCGTAAGGCCTAACCCTCAAGGCCATGTTAGCCCAAGTGGGGTCATCATGGGGTACTCAGGGACCCTAGGGTCAGTAGGTCAGTCCCCGGTGCCCATCTGACTCAGCCAAACACCACCTCCACCTCCGCCTTCTGGAGGACGTAGCACAGCAAAGAGCAGCCAGCGCCTGCTCGCCAGGCTGCAAGAGTGGCCCCTCTAGCTCTAGCTCATGACCCCTGGACAGCAAAATGTCATTGGAGCACATTCTGCCTCGGAAGGTCAGAGAGGGGTCCTGAGAGACTGTGAAGTTTGAAGTGAATGTCAAAGAGGGGTTAGGAATTCACCAGATGATGCGGGGCAGGGCCATTCCATTTCAAGGGGGCACATGCCAGAGTGCAAGTATGAAAAAGCAAGCAGACCTGCAGGCTATTTGCTATGACCAGAAAGGACACTGTGAGCAGAGAGTGCTGAGAACCGCAGCTAGGAAAGCAAGCAAATGCCCACACTGAGGGTGGTGTGGGGCCTGCTCAGGAGATGGGCCTTTGCCCGGCTGCAAATGGGGCCACTGGAGGACTCTAAATAGGGCAATGATGTAATCGTTCACATTTTGGGACGACCATCCTAGAAGCATGATTGATGTTAGGCTGAAAGGATGCACAAGAAAACAAGGCCAGTTAGGTGATTGTTTATATATTCTAGGCAAGATATTCCAAGGGTTTCCAGATGAAGTTACTGGCAGTACAGGTGGAGAAGCAGGATGGATGTGAGAAATATTTAGCAGGTAGGATAAAGAGGACTTTGTGACTTGGATACAAGAGATTAGACACATAGAGGACTTCAGGACGATTCCCAGACTTCTGGCTTATAAACCGATGTTCCATAGGCATCTCAGGTCTGAAATACGATGAGATGTCAGGGCTGCAGATACAAATTTGAAACTGATCAGCGCCAGTGCTGTCGAAAGGGAGAAATTATTCCTGACCAAGATATTCAAATGCCCATGCTCAGAAGAGACTTGTTAAATAAATGTGGAATAAATCTGCATTCTTATATACACCTGAGCATATGCAGATAACCTGGCAGACTGAATGGCAAGAAGCCAGCCTAGCATTTCCTGAAGACCAGTGCCTTGAAGAGGTCGGGGGCAGCCCAGAGCGAGGTGATGATCTAGTTTCACGAAGATGTCATGGATAGTTCTAAAAGTAAAGATCTCCACCAAGTGAGTGTCTAGCCACACTAATACCCTGTACCAGAAGTTATAGCGCTAAGTAATTCTCATCCAGGGCAAGGAGTCACTCCTTCCTTATCTTCAGCCTTGACTGGAGCATTGAACCCTGGACCCATCCAGCCCTATGAGATGGAACCTGAGGAGGGATGAGAGAACCACCAGGATGCAGCTGGGAAAAATGCACCTCTGTCTTCCCGGCTATCTCAGACTGGGTGGAAATTCCAATCAAGGCCCCTCTGGGGAAATACCAACATTATTCATCTACTGGAACTTTATATTAAAAAGCTACTTAATTCTTTAAGGGAGGAATTGTTTGTCCTCCCATTAATAAGTCAATTTTTCCCCTTTCATCCTCCATCCCACTATATTTTAAAAGCAATTCATTCCAGTTAATGTAAAAATGAGAAACCAGAAATTGTGAAGGATGCATATGGATGCCATTCTAGTGATTCATTGATACCTGTTAATCTAGGTATCAATAATACACTTATTTTTCTATCATTCAAATGCTCTCAATATTCATCTGCTCTTGGAACCAGTTGGAACATCTTAGCATTCTAAGGAACATGCTAATGGAATGGTACTGAGCCCCCTTATTAGTATTAAGAGCTCCGTGTCACTTTCACCCAATGAGTAGGGACCATCCTAAAGGGGGCATGACGTCCGCACAACGATATGAATTTGACCTTGTAGGAAAAAAACCTCAGGCCAACCAGAACAATTTTCCCTCACTGAAATTTTCACAAATAAAAATACATATACTTATTTCACTTCATTCCTGCTCAACCATCTACAATTGTCTTTACCAAATCCTGCATGGCCAGATACACAAAAATGTTTTGACGTCTAGTGAGGCAAGTATTTCTTGCTAGTAATCTTTCTCACAATTATTTTGGTTCTTCTTCCAATTCATTCTTGTTGATAGATTCTTTTTTACTGGAATATGGTTGATATACAATATTGGTTGCAGATGTACAAAATAGATTCTGTAATTACGAAATGCTCACCACAGTAAGTGTAGCTGTCCCCTGATGCTACACTGAGATATTACAATATTATTGGCTATATTCTCTGTGCTTAACTTCCATTCTTATGACTAACTTGTTTTATAATTTGAAGTTTTTACCCATATCACCCAACTCCTCATCCCCCTTTCTTATGGTAACCAACAGTCTCTTATCAATATTTATTGATCTATTTCTTTTACTTGTTTGTTTTGTTTTTTAGATTCCACATTTAAGTAAAATCATATGGTATTTGTCTTTCTCTGACTTATTTCACTGAGCATAATACCCTCTGGGTCCATCCATGTTGTCACAAATGGCAAGGTTTCCTTTTTTATGGCTACAGTATTAATTTCCATTGTGTATATGTGCCAAATCTTCTTTATCCTATCATCTATCAATGAGTACTTGGATTGCTTCCGTATCTTGGCCATTAGGTGTACATATGCCTTTTCAAATTAGTGATGTTTTCTTTATGTAAATTGCAGAAAAGAAATGGAATTGCTGGGTCATATGGTGTTCCTATTTGTACTTTTTGAGAGACCTCCATTCTGCTTTCCACAGTGGCTGCACCAATTTACATTCTCACCAACAGCGTAGGAGGGCTCCCTTTCCCCACATCCTCCCCAACACTTGTTATTTTGTGTCTTTTGGATAGTGGCCATTCTCACTGGTATGAGGTGATATCTCATTGTGGTTTTGATTTGCATTTCCCTGATGCTTAGTGATGTGGAGCATCTTTTCATGTGCCTGTGGCCATCCATCTATAGGTTTATTTTGGAGAAATGTCTATTCAGGTCCTCTGCCCATTTTTGTTGTTGTTGTTGTTGATAGATTTTGAATGAGTTTGTCAGTTAGCCCTAAAAAGTCTCTAGAGTTTTGACTGGAATCTTTTTATACTTTTAACTGCAGAAAATAGGCATCCTACCCATGAAAGTGATAGGTCTCTCCATTTAGACTTTTTTTCCCTACTTCAGGGAATTTCAGCATTTACTTTATGTAGGTCTACCTATTTCTTCAGTTCATTCATTATTATTCTGAAGCAGCTTGCTGCACTTAAAATGTGCCCCAAAGTGCAAGGCAGAGTGTCATATTTACCAGGACACTTTCTGACTGGAAGATTTCTATTACAGTATTTTAAGAAATCACAGAAAATAGAGGAAGATGTAGTAGTTGTCTTTTGTCATGAATAAACAGCTCATCTTATAAATTATACTTTGTCTTCTTTATGAAAATACTTACAATCACAGTGTGATGACAGCAAATGTGGCGTTTTGAAGAAGACAACCTGTCAGATCAATCTAATTTCTTCTAGAGTGGGGAGGCTGACTTGAGATAAAGAATTACATGTGGAATGTCTGGATTTCAGGAAGTTCTTATTCTCCTGACTATGACTCTGTTCCGAAGAATGTAGTAGAGATAGTGTGGTGCTGGCTGCAATGCTGGAAGAGAAGTTGTACTTGAAAAGGGGCTCTCTTTTTAACTCTGTATTTATTTATTAAATTCAAAGACAACCAGCCTCATGGCAAACACATACTAGCCTTATAGGACAACTCAAATAGCTTTTTTCAGAGTTCCTTTCGGTCACAGATGAAAAGCAGTTTAATCCTCTAGGGCTGTTTTTCTGGAAAAGAGTCCTATGCCTAAATTCCCAATGTACAACTGTAGATATTAGATACCAGGACAATGTCAGCTGGAGGACAGAGAGAGGATCACAGGTGCCTGGCTTTATGATTTCATGAATTCAGTTTGCCTAACCTCTTGTGAACTCGTGGGAGCATAAGTCCAAGAGGGAGCTGGGGTGCTGGCGGGACGTTGTTCATGGATGAGCATTAAGACCCTCACGGCATACTGATCCCCCCTGTTACTGACCCTTGGGGAGAGCTATGGTGGAAAGCAACAGACACCAGACAAGATGCAGGGCACTGGGATGTTCACACACTGTATGTGGAGATGGAAAAATGACGAAGCTGCTCAAGACAGCAAAGTAGAACGTTAAACCAAGAGCAGAGCCCTTCG